ATGCGTCAAATAATCCATTTTTTACTTGTTCAGAAATATTCGAAAGGCATCTGATCAATTCTCTAAGTACGATATTATGATGACGAGCCATCTGGTCCTGTGTCTTTTTTCACAACGGGCCAAATATACACAATGGAAGTCAAAACGTTATCATCGGTCTTGAATTCATGTTGCTATAAGCAAACAGGTGGCGTAAGATTTGTATCGGCAAAAAATGCGCAGTATTTTGGAAAAATTACTGCCGATCAAATGAGTATCATGTGATCGTGAGTCATTTTGACAATATATATATACCTTTATTTTTCACTTTACGCGTCGTGTTTACAAACTCATCCTATACTTTTCAATGGTTAAACGACTTTCTACGTGGTTAAGATCCGGTATCGTTGATAAGAATATCAAAAACAATTTCAGATCAACTTTAAACGCGTTATATGATGCTTGTCCGTTAAAAATTTCCCACAGAGCTTTACGTGATTCACTCCACGACAATTTGTATAATGATCAGGTTTTTCGTCAAGAGTCTCCAGCAAATATTACGGTGTTTGGCTAGTTTGAGGATCAAAGGCTTCAAAACTGTCATTCCCGTCCTCTAAACAACCTAAACAACCTAAACAGAAACGAGCCTGTGCGGTTTTTAAAAAAACTCGACTTTATTCATCTAATGTTACTACTAATAATGTCGACAATCAGATAAATAACAATTACATAAATGATAAGACCGTTCGTTGTGATCCTTCTCCATCATTGAGACAAAAATTTTCATTTACCGACAGCGAACAAGGGGGATTTGTTGAACATATTATTAATCTTGCTGAGAAAGCAATATACAAATTTCTCGTTGATAATGAACGTAACATTCCTCTAAATGTTGTAATGGATTTCGTATCTAAACAGAGGCCTCCAGTGAACAGTGATTTTTCCAACGCAGATTTATTGTGCATGCTTAATTTTATCATCGACAATATAAATATTTTATAAGGGTGTCAGCTTTTCACGGTCAGTATAAGACAAGACCCGTTGAACTTTTCAGCAACTTTAAAAAAAACGTGCGAAATAAGATGGCGCACGGGATTGTTACTGATGATAAAGGCCGTTGGAACGACCATTCACTTCAGAATGTCGCAATTTTAGCTTGCGAAATCGTCATTTGTGTCGGTAAGTAGTTTATAAGAGCAATCTAGCTTTATATAGGGGTGTAATTTTTTATTTCATTTTATTTGTCATTAGGCGGTAATCATGAAGACATATGCGCGTATAAAGAAAATGTCGATAGCGAAATAGTTCAGCGGTGGATTAATAGCGCAGTTAAAGACTGTCCCCAATTACCACAAAAAGAAAACACGGCGATGTGGATGATGCGAGCATTGGCGAGATAACGGAGTTTGTCATGGATATTCTCGAGGAGGTTGAGGAGTCTAAAAAAGGGGAGAAACAAGATATTTTAAAGTTAGCATTAAAGGGAAATGAGCAGATAATACAATTCTGTAAAGTAATTAAGATGAAAGAAAAAGATTCGCAAATTCGCAAATTTATTCAGTTTGCAAATTTAATGTTTGACATTGTAAGTATTGGTTATTATATTTTTTTACACGATAAATCAAATTGCATAGTAGTGAATTGCTAAGCCTATATTTATTTTTAGGACTTAAAGGTGAGGAATAAGAAAATACTCAAAATAGAAAAATAAGTGAGGTATGTATTTGTGATGCTTTGTGTAGTTTGCAATATAGCATTGGGAAAAAGTTCTCGCACAATTTCGTCACATCCAGAGTCGGTGTGATGTAGTCACGTCCAGAGTCGACGTGATGTGCACCCTTAATCTGAGAGCGATTCAGTTCGTGAAGGGTGGGGATTAATCGGCATTGTCCAAAGGGCGTGATCGTATTACGAACATTCTGAAAAATGTAGTTTCTTATTGGATCATATTTGTAAGGGTGTAGTCCCTTGGTCTCTGCCGGACTCGTTGGCTTAACTGAGAATAAACGAAGCTCCTTTTTCCGTGTGCTACTTGTTAACTGCTCAAAGTTTATTACTGTTCTTGTGTAGCAATTTCTAACAACCATTTTGAATCTATCTTTTAGTACTCAAATAAAGGCTAAACTTCAAATGAAACTTTCTACAATGTTTGGTCAAATAATTTATTGCTAATGCTTATTAAAGGTTCTTTTCAATTATAACTAACTCTCTGGTAACTGGCTTAAGAGGATTACGAACAAATTAAAGAATTTCAGCTAATGCCATCATAGAAATACTATTAGTGTAATAATTGGTGTAATGTTATCGCAATAATCTAAATAAAGTTTTAGTCCTTTATTTTACATTGATATGAAAATAGGCTGTGTATTATAATTCTTATATTTTTTTCCCGTATGCCAATATTTCTCGATCCTGAATTTTTTTCTATCATTCGAAAACTATAAATGCGCAGAAGATATTCGGTAAAATTCTTGCCGAAGAATAGGGGCTGTGCGACGTAAGATTCGCATACATTGTTTTTTTTTATTCCGATAGATGATCCTAATTTTTCCTGGAATAATCTCCTTGAAATGTCGAAGCGAGGCCTAAGGAAAGAAATGTAAGTATCGAATTCTTCTTGTATTGCAAGTTCGAGAGACTCATCCAACTAACTATTACCTTATATTGAGGAAGGAAAAAATTCTTCTCGGGATTAACATTGAAAAAAAATCGCAACGGAAGTATTGTGAAAGGAAGAGTTCTTTCATGAAAGAAACATTCTCAAAGCCGTAGCATATTTATCTAGAACTTTCCCATATGTACTAAAGCCCCTGGTCTGAATAACAATTAACCGGATTGCCGATTTCTTAGTTGTGCTACATAACATAAAGATAAGGTGAGATGTAGTCTTTTTTTTTATCTGCTTCGTGTTTAAATTCAAACAATACAAACTAATCAATATTATACTTATCTTTTCTTCGCCATTTCCGATCCTGATTTTTCGTGATGCTGGCGATTCCAAGTCCGCGGGTATATTTCCACTAAAGCTGAAACAAACAGGAAATATCTACGATCCCAAATTTATGATTCTTGAACCACACGACCCTGGTTTCACACATCCGATGATAGAGATGATCTTGGAAATAAAAAAGCTAGGAAACCGATTGAGGAAAAAAAAATCTTCTCAGGATACTTTCTCGACATGGGATAATAGACGATTTTTCTCCATCATTTCCGATCGTGATGCTGGCGATTCCAAGTCTGCGGGTATATCTTCACTAAAGCTGAAACAACCAGGATTCCAAGACCTCGGACAAGAAGAGGTAAGTTTTTAGTTGAACCTTTTATCCGCTCCGCTTAAATCAAACGAAGCTAATCGCCTGTACATCCATCACATCCATCATCAATCCCATCAACCGAATGATACTTACGGTATTTTATCTTGATCCCGAGAAATATGGTTCCGAATCTGATTCGACTAGGAGCATTCCACTCCCGGATTCGAGTTCCCTCAAATGAAGTTTCATGTATGCAATGTCGTGGTCTTCCATTCCGAGAAATGTGGAACCTAGGTGTAGTGGTGGGGTTAATAAAGGACAAGGGGTATCATTCAAGCGAAGTAAAAATAAGCATGGATACCTGTCCGCATAGAAATACCATGTATCATGGGATAGTTCCGACATTTTTCAAGACGGGTGAAGTAAAATTATTTCCGAATTCCAGCCTCTGCATCGTTTTCCATCCTTAAGATATAGTCATGTCACACGAAAATAAAAGAATTTTAATACTGCATATGACCTCTTAACCAGTAATGACTTATCCCTATATACTATATTCCGCTGATCGCTCGAGAGTAATGCAAGTTATTTTTGAAAATTAGGATCGACAAATTATTGGATATTAAGATTTTCATGTTTTGCGACGATCAACTGCGGAGGAGACTTAATTATAAAATACTGGTCGCTGGAGGTCTGTTCTAGTAAGAAAAATACAAATCAAAAAATATCTCAAATCGAAATTATTAAATAAAATGCTTCATATACTGATATCTCTATGCTCGTGCTCTTCTGCTTAGTAGTAGCAATCTATGAAACAATATCCCAAGGTCTCTTAACTATGGAGACGCTTCAAATCATTTTTTCAGAAATTTTTTTACATATATAATTCTCGCAGGAGGATTCCTCTACTTTCGCAACAATCAATGATTATATTAAGGGTATTTATTATATATTATTATTTTATTAAATTAATAACTTTAAATGATAGTAAATGTAAAATAAATAAAAAATAGAAAATATATTTTTATATTTAAAAAGTTAGATTTAAATTATAATATAATAAAAAAAAAAATAATTATATATGAAGTGAATATATAAAAAATTAACTATATTATCAAATAAATAAAATAAAAAATTATTTTCTATAAAATAATATTAAAATTATATTTAATTATTTTTAGATTATTATAAATTTTTTTTATAAAAACTTAAAAACTTTTTTTTAAAATTAATTTTATAAATATATACTATATTAAAATAATTTTATTTTTTAATTATATAATAAAAAAAAGTTAAGTTGATTTATAAGCGTAAAAAGTTATAACTTTTAAAAAAATATATTATTAATTTTTAACAAATTTATTAAATTTATTTTTAATGATATTTAATATTATATAATACAAAATTATTATATAACTTTAATTATTATAATTTTTATAATTGTCTAAAGTATAAAAACAATTAATTTCTATGTTAAATTAATGTAATGTCATTCTGTCCTGCATATTAATTAATCAATAGAATTCTATGTTGCTAATTATATGTGTTTTACAAAATTTAAACATTAAAAAAATTGAATAAATTATTGATTTTTATTATAAATCTAGTTATGCTTCAGACTAAGATGATTACTATTTTCTAGTTTATTAAAAAATTTTATAACTTTTATTAATAATAAAGTAATTAATTAATTTACAAATATATAAATTTCAAAAAAATAAACATAATTTAAAATTAAATTATTTTAAAAACTTTTTAATATACTTAAATATTTTCTAATAAAATTAATAAAATATATATTAAACTATATTTATTTATATAAAGATTATATTACTAAATTAAAATTTTAAGAATTAATACTTTTATTTTAATTTTACAGATAAATCTGATAATTAAAAAATTTAAAAAATAATTTTAGTCTAATAAATATATAATTATGATTAATATTTAAAAAATTGGTAAAAAATTTGAAATTTATTAAAATATAAAATTATAAAGATTTAATTAATAATATAATATTATCAATAATAAATAATAATTTAAATAATATACTATTCTAAAATTAGATAACCTTCTTTTGTTATAGAGTTGTTTAATTTTAGATACTTTAAAAAATAAAAATTTAAATTGAATTTAAAAAGAAATTTAACCTATTCAATCATGATTTAAAAATATTAGTTTATTTGATAGAAAGTTGTATATTTAAATAATGATATTATAAAAATCACTTGTGAAATATAATAAAATATTATAATTAAATTTAATTATATGCAATAATGATAAATTATGAGTTCGTAGATATACTAGTTTAAAAATTACATAAATACTTTCTCAGAAAAAGTAAAAATGTTTAAATGCTATTAAAAAGAAATAATTAAATGATATTATAATTTATATATCATTAAGCAAAAAAAACAAGTTATTACTTATGCTAAAGAAAATGAAATAATTAGAGTAATAAATAATTTTAACTTAATAAAGATATAGTTAATGTTGGATTAAGTTAAAAAAATGGGCAGATAAACTGAACTAAAATAGTAAATGAATTGCTTCTGGTTAAAAATGTTTTTAATATCAATTTTTTTTATGCTTAATTATTAATTATTATATTATTATTATTAATAAATTTAATTAATTATAAATTAAATTTGTGATATTATTATATTAATTAATTATTATTTTATTTTAATATTATATAAAAAAAATCAATTATTAAAAATATTAAAATAATCTATATTAATTTTATTAAAATAATTATTTATTTATAATATAGAAAAAAGACAAAACCTTTTAATAACAATCAAAATTTTGATAAAATTATATTAAAATTATAATAAAAGATATGACAAAATTCTTTTAATATAATGAAAGCTAAAACTGTCAAAATTGTATTAAAATATAAAAATGATATAATTTATTTTAAAAAGATTTTGATAGGCATATATAATTTATAATATTTTTTATGCTTAATACCTAAATATTAAATAAATATTTCTAATTTATTCTAATTTTATAAAGTATTAGCTAATATTATTATATATAATTTATTTAAATAATATTTCTTTATTATTTCTTATATTAAATTTATATTGATAGTAAAGTAAAGCATTTGATAAATTTTTTTTAAAATATTAAATTAAATTTAAAAATAGTATAATCTTTTACAATAAGTAATAAAAAATTAGATATATAAATTTCATATTTAATACTAAATAAAATTAGTTAAATAAAACTATTTACATTAACTTTCTTTTTTAAATTAAAATATTTACAAAGTCAAATATAGTTTATTTTTTCAATTAGCATTATATTGTTCAATATTGTGTAATAATAATTTAATACAGTACAAATTTAAGTTTTATAATAATATTTTACTTTAGGATTAGTAAATTTAATGATATTTATTTTTTTTTTTAATTTATAGTAAATTTATTAATTATACTACTTTTTATTATTATTATTATTATTATTATTATTATTTTAAGTAAAAAAAATAAAACTTGTTTTTCAATTTTAGTAAAAGTATTTTTTTTTTTTTTTTTGAAAACATTCGATATTGAATAATATATAAGAAAAAAAATGCTATGAATTTATATTTATTTACAAAATATAAACATTTTAAATTTTTTATTACAATATTTCTACTTTTGGTATTTAATATATTTATCTCAAAATTAATATTAAAATCAATAGGAATGATGTTATACGTAAATAATAAAAATTATTTCTAATTTGAAATAATGATATCATGTGACATATAATAAAATAAAAAATTTTTCTTATAATGACTTGAAATCAATGCTTTAACGTTAACATAAAAAGGGTTTCAAACTCGTGACACTCTATTTATTTTGTTTTATTTTAAAACTTTTTTTTTCTTTAATTCTATCTACAGTATCTACAGTTTAATAGTTTACAACACCATACAAAAATAATAGTATCTAAAACTATACAAAACATTTCTCGATTAATATTTATTATATATGCGATATCATTCCTAATTCAGCATTTATCATAAAAAAAAAAAAAAAACAAAAAAAAAATTTTTTTTTAATAAGCCAGAAGCACGTTCTTTTGATAAATGCTGATTATAAAACCCACCTGAGAGTTCAGATCCAACCAAGTTGGTCGAAGAACTCCCAGAGCTTGCACGCTTTGTTCACGTCAAAATTAACTAAGCGCTGTGCGTCTACTTTTTTAAATTTTAAATGATCTCTCCGGGCCTTCCCGGCGCCACGGAGGATTGCAAGTTTGCCTCTTAAATATTGTAGAGGTGGCATTCTTAACTTGGAGCAGAGATCCCACTCTTCTTTATGAAGTAGATTGGCTCCTTCTAGTTCCTTGATTTCAAGTGAAGATGAACCCTTCTTCCACGTTATCTTAGGGCTCGTAAAGTTCATTGTTGAATGGTCAATATCCAGTTCATTGATTTGGACTTTCAATTCTTCGAGTCTTAAGACAAATGGATTTTCTTCCTTTTTTTCAACCTTCTTAACCTCTTTCAAAGTTTTCGATAATAGCTTTGGGTTTCTTTTATAAACATCGTAAATATTAACCCGAATTACATAGCCATCCTCCGACGAAGAGTTGGGCGCTCTTTGTGGATATGGTTGCTTTCTGAGCGATCGTCTGTTATTGCGTTGATGTTGACTACATAGTTGTCTAGTATTATTGGCCATTATCGGGGAAATGTTGTTTGATATTTGTATATCATTCATAGTAATTGCGGGGTTGCTTGAAGAAAGAGGAACTCTATTATTAACGATGTTTTTGATTGCGAATTCTGAAGGTTTGATCTTGTCAAGAATATGTTGAGGAGCTTCAGCTAATATCCAACGGACTTTACTGATGCTATCATTGGCGGCGTTAGGGAAGTTAACCTTTTCAAGGATATGTTGAGGAGCTTCGCATAATCTCCAACGGACTCTTGTGTTGTTAGTTCTAGTCTTGTTATTTAAAGGAACTGCTTTATCATTAATAGCCTTAGTAGTCGAAGTAGCTACCACTACACCGTTTCTATTCTTATTGACCAAAGGTGAGGTGCTCGTTTTAGTCTTGTTAACCAAGGGAGCCATGGAGAGACGATATCGTTAAGTTAAATATATTAGAGAAAAAATATATTAACAATTTTGAGGGAAGAATCAAAATTTGTTTAGGAGAATAAGTAAACAAAGATGTGAAAGGGAATTTAAAAAGATGAGAAGTATTTTTTGGTTTTTTTTGGGGGGAAGAAATTTTAATGCAAAAGGTAACTTAAGTTATTTCAAAATCGAAAAAAGACGTTTGTTTGTATTTGAGAGCATAAAAAAAAAAATTTATTTTTCGTCAGGGAAGTTTCATTCGATTTCTATGATTATGGGATGGATCATTTGCATCTCGAATTTGAATGAATTGAATGAATGAATATGAATGAAATGTGTTTCGAGATTTCAAATTTTATAACAAAAAATTTTTTTGTGATTGGAGGATCTGAAGGGTAGATGGAATGACGGATGCAACCCTGAAAATAATTTTTTAAAGTTTTTCTAGAATCATTCTCCTTAAAATGATAAATTAGGATAATCAAATTGTACGATAAATGTTATATTACTGAATTTGACTAAGTTTCTAGTTAATAACTCATTGTTTGTTTATGCAGTAATACATCCACATTTGATTCTATCAAATGTTTAATTTCCGAAATAGACGTAATAAGCTCTAATTCAATTTCTTTTTGGGAAAGTTTACGAGAACTTTACAAAGCCGCAATTTCGTATAACCTCCTGCATTTAATTTTTTTCTTTTTTTTCTTTATTTTTTTTTTTTTGGTTCAAGAATTCTCATAGTCATGCATGCATTTGTCTTGAACACATCTGCCAAATCCCGAATTAACATCGAAAAACCGCGTCTTACAACAGATCAACACGGATCGAGTTAATACAAAATGCGTTCCTAAATATATGAAATTAATCAAATGTCGAGTATCTATCCGAAATATTCAATTGTTCACCGATTGACACGTAAAATTACAATGAAATCAAACTATTGAACGCGCACGTGACGGCTGCGTTGCTAAATACCTCGATAAACGCACAGCATTTATTTGTTGACCTATTGATCTAGATGAATGCAGTTGCATACTAAGACAAATATAGTAAAACGTCAGTATTGTACCCGAGTGCTTTACATCAGATTAATGCTTTATCATAAATCTCGTAGATCGTTGATAAAAAAAGTTTGGTAAATCAAAATCAGATAACTAATTTCTCTCACAATTTCCTCTCGAGAATAAAAATTTTAAATAAAAATGTCGGTTGTTAAAGGAATAGCTGCACCACTTGAAAAATATGACGGGTCCTCATTACGTATTCTAATCGTACATACACGTTGGAATTCTTCAGTTGTAAACGAATTAGTAAAAGGGACAATTGACACCATGACTAAGGAACATTCGGTTAAATCCGAGAATATTACTATTCAAACGGTTGCGGGAGCATTTGAATTACCATTTGCGACCCAACGTCTTATCGCAGCATCAAGACTTCAAGCTACTCCAAATGCAGCAGAATTATTTTCAACACTAGGAGAGAATACTGGACCTCCACCCATTAACTCCAAGACTTTTGATGCAGTTATTTGTATTGGAGTATTGATTAAAGGTTCTACAATGCACTTTGAATATATCTCAGAAGCTGTCAGTAATGGTATTATGAGGGTCGGTTTGGATTCTGGTATTCCTTGTGTTTTTGGTGTTTTATCTTGTTTAACCGATGAACAAGCATTGGAAAGAGCTGGTTTGGGTGTAAGTGAAAAAAAGCATAATCATGGAATTGATTGGGGACACTGTGCTGTCGAATTAGCCATTAAAAATCGTAGATGGATTACTGGTGAAATTTGATTTCATTTAATTTGTGATTTTTTACTAAGCAGATTAGTTCTTTTTCTTTTTTTGATAATTGATTTCATCATTTGTACTGTATAATCTCAACTCAAATAAATAATTTATCTTTTGTTCCCTTTAAAAGAAACAACCTTATTATTAAATTCTTCATTCTTACATCACATTCTACTTTTTTTCTCGCCTTTCCATTCTATTATAAATGTGAATGTGAAACCTTTGAATTTAATTTAAGTCAAGTTTAGCAGTAGAAATCCAAGTTGACTTAAAGCATCATATTATCAAAATCTTTAGATTACAAGATTTTGTCACCATTAAGAATTTTCATATGATCTAATCTGTTATTTCGCGAATGTTTAACAATTTCATTTCCGATATATATCTAATAATTTTTATTTATATAATTCAATTATCCAAAAGGTTCTTGTAATACGAGGACAAAAAATTTTGATGATAAACGTGAGTGATAAAAAGGACTCTGATCAATCAATCTAAGGCGCTCGTCAAGGGTCTCAGGACGATTACCCATAAAGCTCAGAAGCAAGAAAAGTCGACATTTTTTTTTCGTCCACGAATTTCTGTCTTCCGCATCATCTTACTAATTTAGGGTATTCTGCGATCCTGCATTTTTTATTATTATTATTAGAACTGAAGTGCTAATAAAAATAAAAAACGAATAATTCACAAAAATGTTTCAACTTACAATTTATGGTATTCGTCAGCAAAGCTTTATACAAATAAAAAAGAATTACCAAGAGGGAAGGGGGTCAGTTATATAATGTAATTTTTCTCTGTTTAACATAAAATCGAACAAATTGCCAAATTTTTGTTTAATAATTATTTCAATAATGGTCCTACTAAACAAACGTTTTAAAGGGCCAACATCAGGAATTATAGTAAATTAATTAACTTTCCATTTT